TGAAAAAGACAAGCAAAAGGCATGTCCTGAACATCTTATATTCTATCTGGTGAAGGCATAAAATAAACACAAAAACATTTAAATAGATTAGGTTATTTCTGGAAGTGTTAATTTCTATAAAGGAAAAGTAATGAGATAGAGAGACTCAAGTGGGTGGGGTTAGGTAGACCATTCAAATAGGTGATCATGAAAGATTTCTGAATAATTTAATTTCTTTCTTTCCTTTTTTTTAACCTTTTCTCCATCACTTTTTGTTCATATTTTTGCATGTTCACCATGTAGATCAAGATATGGACCATGTCCAGCACCTCAGAATTTTCCCTTTGGCTTCTTCCCTAGCAATATCTGGTCATTGAACTGCATGTTGAGCAGTTTACATTTGAAAAAAGACCTGAGTAATGAAAAGAGATCAACCCTGTGAAAATCTGCAAGTAGAATATTCTAGGCAAAGGCAACAGCAGGACTTTAAGGCAAGAAAAAGCTTGTTTGTTTAAGACACAAAATTAATGTCAAAGCAGTTAGAACATAGTGAAACAAGAAAAATGGTAGAAGATTATGTGAGAGTTATGCAGCAGGCAGATCATATAAGGCTTTGTTATTTACACTAAAGAATCTGAATTTTTCGGCTTTCAATGTGGAATCTGTTGAAGGGATACAAATAGTGTGAGATACTGTTGATTTTTGTAAATGCTCATTCCAAAAAAAAAAAAGTTTACCCAGAGGATATATGGAGATTGAACTATGGCAGTAGATGTGGAAGCAGAGAGCCCAATAAAGAGATTATACTCAAGAAAATAGATGATGGAGAGTTGAATTATGGTAGTATCAGTGGAAGAACTTATAGTGTTTGCTAGATTCAATCAAAATAAGGTAGTGGGACAGACAGATTAACTAGATGTGGCATATTCACAACAGAAAGAAATTGAGGATGATTCATAACCTAACAGCTGAGTGACTAATGGAAACATTCATGATGATGGAGAATACTTGCGGAAGAATAATTTTGGCAAGAACCAGAGATATATGTAAAGACATGATTCTAGTTTGGTCAGTTACGTTTGGGATTTTCTTTTTTACATGATCAATGAGCAAGATATATAAATTTGGGGTTCAAGGGAAAATTTTGGATAGATTTGGACTAGATTTCGGAATTCTACTTTAAATATTTCAAGCCATGAGATAGAACAAAATTACCCAAAGAGAGAATACAGATAGAGAAACAAAGAGAATTGAAATCCAAACCCTGAGGCATGGTATCAGAGAAATACAAACTAGTAAGGGAGTCTCAGAAGGAGTAGACAGAGTGATAAGAGGAAAATGAGACATATTAAAAGCCATGTGGAACAATCTCTTTCAGACTCAATATCACAGAGACTTTGGTAAGACAAGAGGTTAAGAATTGGCCACAGGATTTGGCATGAGGAACACCTTTGGGGGTTCAAAGAGTTTCTATTTCTTGTTAGTTCAAAATTCCTTTATTGATTTAGTCATTGTGTAGAAAGAGCTTACACATAATTGATGGGCTTCTTTTTAAGGGAATATTTATAAACTCAAGGCTCTTCTGGTGCTTGAACCATACTGAGTATCAGCAAAGCCACATCCTCACCCAGAAAAATAGACAAACAGAAAAGATAATGCTAAGGTGACCCTCAGGGAATAGTACATACCTGCTTTCAGCTTTTCAGCATCTCAAAAAGCCCATTACCATCAGTCCACCAGTACTTCTGATTTAATACCTTTTATGGTTCTGAATTTGGGCAGAGAAGCATAATCACAAATCCATTTTCTTATAGCAGGTCACCCCTTACTGTATCATAGCTGACTACTATTATCTTTATACCAAAGAGAAACAGGATCTACCTCTCCTTTTCCCCAAATGTGGTTAAGATATAGTTATATAGTTCAACAAAGTTTTATTATTATTATTAAGACTTCATATTTTTAGGGCAGTTTCAGGTTTACAGCAAAATTTAGAGGAAGGTAAAGAGATTTTCCATATGTCTTCTGCCCCCACATCAACATAACCTCTACCTAATCAACAAATTGTAATAAAAATGGTGATATAACACAAGAGATAAAAATAAACACAGGGACAAAATGTATGCACAGAATACCTTCTTATCAAAAGATATCTGCCAGAACAACACACACACACACACACACACACACACACACACACACTTTTTATCTTTTCCCTAAAACAGAAGAGCAGCTCCCCTACAAAGTAAATGAATTCTCTCTCACTTGGGATATAAAAAAATTTGTGTGAAGGAATATCTATTTCTGGCATAGTGACTAGGAAATATGGACCAATGACAAATAGAAAAACTAATCAAAATATGTTTTAAAAATCTACTTGAAGGCATCAGGAAGCTAACAAGGCACTGAAAAATTATGAATCTAAGATATTGAAGAAAAAAAAATAGAAAGAGGAACCTAGTATTTGGAAAATGTTAAATGCAAGTGAGAAGTTAAGAAGCTGAGCAGAACTTTTTGATAATTCCATGGGGCTAGAAGTGACAGACCTGAAGTCCAGAAGCTGCCAAGTAAGCAATGCCTATACTCTAAGAGTAAGGGTGTATACTAGAAATGATCTGGCTCTCCAACCTCTCCAGGGCAATGAAGTCCAACTTCAAAAAATCTTGCTGCTTATAATCAGATTAAGCTCATGGAAGGTTATTAGTTTTAGACATCTATCCCTTTGGAGGAAAAGAAGACATGATATTGTCTTAATTATATACAACTTATATTATTAACCCTAAAATAATCAGCCACATGGGGAAAAAGAAAATGTTTTTTTTTTTTTTAAAAAGAAAATATGGGGGTGCCTGGCTGGCTCAGTCAGTAGAGCATGTGACTCTTGATCTCAGGATTATGAGTTCAAGCTCCCCATTGGGCAGAGAGATTACTTAAAAAAAAAAAAAAAAGAAGAAGAAGAAAATATAGATATTAGAGCCAGACACACAAAGGACTCAGGTAATGGAGTTATATGATGACTTTAAAATAATATCTTGAATAAGTTAAAGATCATGGAGTTACACAATGACTTTAATATAAGTATTCTGAATATTTTCAAAGAAACAGATATAATTGAGAGCTTCTGAAAATAAATAGTATTTAAGAAAATGGAAATTTAGTCAATGAAAACACAGTAACCAAAATTAAGAATGCAAACGGTAGGCTTCACAATGGATTACAAATACCTGAAGATATCATTAATAGGTTGGAAGATAAGTCAGAACACTATATTGAGAAAGAAGAACAGTGAATAAAAATGATGGAAAAAGCACAAAGAAAACATGATAAGTCTAGGGATGCAGTGCGATCTACCATATATGTAAATGGAGTCTCAGAAAGAGAAACAATATGTGGAAAGAAATGGCTGCAATTTTCTAAATCCTTAGAGGGTTATGAGAACAATAATTCAAGAATAACTATGAACCTCAAGTAAGATAAATACAGAGAAAATTGCTACCTGACGCATTTTACCTTTTCCTATAAGAATAGCAAAAGGTAAACATCTTAAAAGCAGACAGAGAACAGGAAACAAAAAAGGTCTAAGACAGAAGAGAATTGTATTAGTTATCTATAGGTGCATAACAAGTCACCCCAAACTTAGTAGTTTAAAACAACATACATTTATTAACGCATAGATTCTGCGGTTCAGCAATCTAGAAGCAGCATAGCCGGCTGGTTCTGGTTGAAGATTTCTCAAGAGATTGCCTTCAAGCTGCCTACTGAAGTGCAAATGGTCTCCAGGCTCAACAGGGGTGGAGAGGTAAAGGTGGGGATCTATTTCTGAGCTCACTGAGGGGACTATTGGCAGGCCTCAGAATATCTTCCAAGCTTCCTCACATGGTTCGTTTCAGGTCTCATTTCATTGCCATATGGAGAACTTCATTGGCAACCTGAGTGGCATCATGACATAAGAGTTGGCCTTTCTTTATCCAAGGCAGCCTCACAACATGGTAGCTGGTTTCCTCTCAGAGAGAGAGAGAGAATAAATGAGAGTGGGAGAACACACCAACATGGAAGCCATAGTCTTTTTATAACTGAATGTCCAAAGTGGCACCCATCACTTCTACTGTAATTTAGTTGCTAGAATCAAGTCACTAGGTTTGCTTTGTGCTTTCTTGATAGAGCATTATCCAAATGTCACATGGAATTACTATTGCTATTTAACAAATTATTCCTAACTTTGTATTTTAAAATAACCATTTTATCTGATTCATTTTTGGATCAGGAAATAGAGATGAGCTCAGGTGGGGGCTACATCTCAGCTGGGTTGTTTGGGGCCGGAGCATCTACTTCTAAGATAGGTTCTTCATTCACACCATTGGTACTTAAGTGCTTCTTGGCCTCTCCACATAATGTGCTATCCTGTAGGGCCTTTCCTTATCTGGTGGTTTCAGATAATCACATTTCTTACATGGTGTCTGGCATCCAAGACACAGGAAAAAGAAGCTGCTTAACCAGCCAGAGGCTCCACCCAGGACCAGGGCAACATCACTTCCACTGTATTTGTATGCCATGGTAGTTACAGTCAGCTCAGTCAACTCTGGGGAGGCGGGGGGAGAAATAAATGTCACTTCTTGAATAGGAATTAGAAAGGTCATGTTTCAGGAGTAGCTTGTGGTTTTGGAGATAATATTTTTGCCATCTTTGTGACAACGCAGTCTTCCAGTCAGCTCTCTGACCACAACAACACACATCCCATCTACATGCAAAATACACTTTACTTGTTCCTGCAAATTTTATCCCATTATGGCACAGAGGTCGAATTGTACTGGATTCAATCCTTGTTTAGAGGCCATTCCTTAAATTGAGAATCTTTGATGTCTGAAGTTAGTTATAGCTCTTTTATATATCTTCAACATTCAGATTGAAAAGTGATGAGTTCCTTCTTTACTTCATCTCTCTATAGCCATATTTCATTATACACAACTAAAAGAAACCAGTTGGCACTTCCAAAATTCTCCCTTAACTCCTGCTAAACCCAGATTCTCCAGTTCATAGACACATTTTTACTTTATATTCCATTATTTATTGATGTGTAAAAAGTTACCTCAAAACTTAACATTGTGAGATACAATGAAACAAAACTTATTTTCTCACATAGTTTCTGAGGATCAGGAATCTGGAAGTGCCTTCCATGTATGGTTCTAGCTCAGGGTTTTTCATGCGGCTACACTCAAGATGTCAGCAGAGGCTGCAGCTGTGTGAAGGCATGTCCGGACCTGAGAGATCATCACTCCAGATGGCTCACTCCAACAGCTATTGGCAGAATGGCTCCATTCAGCACTGGCTGCTGCTGAAGATGTCAGTATACAGGACAGCCTGGGAGTCCTTCTACCATCACAGCTATCTTCCTCCTGAGTAAGTGATCCAAAAGAGAGAGCAAGAGAGAAGCCACAGTTCTTTTTATGACCCAATCTCTGAAGTCATTTTATTTCATTAGAAGCAAGTCACTAAGTTTAGCCCACACTCAAAAATTAAGCTCCATTTCTTAAAGGGGAGGGTTATCCAAGAATCTGTGGACATATTCTAAAACTACTACATCTACATTATCTCTGTCAATAATTTTGCTGAATTTTCCACCACTATGCAACACAATTTATCTGTTCTCCAGTCTCCAATGACACTTTTCTCATTATCCTTCCACTGCCACACACTGTCTACTTGAAGTCCTTCACACTGCCACCCAATATTTGGTTTCGAATACAAACGCACACGTTTTGCTTTTCTGTTTTAACAAAAACCTACTTTCAGTACCAAATTTTGGTTTTGGTATATTTTCTGGAGTAACAAACCATTTCAAGCTATTATTGGATTAAAACAGCAACCATTTGCATTATGTGAACATGCTGTGGCTCAGATATTTTGTCAGGGCATAGAGGGAAGGCTCTTAGCTTACCTGGAGCATCTGGTATGACAGGAGATGACTGGTAAGGCTTGATTGGGGCCATATGTCTTGGGCCATAGTTTTGGATGTGAGCTGGGTTTTTCAGTTCTCTTCCATGGGGTCTACTGAATTTAGAAACAGAAGATAGGTTCTTTTCCCATGTCTGGTGCCTGGGTTAGAATGGCTAGAATAACTAGGTCTGGTCAGGCATCTCTTTTTCTCTCTCTAAGTGACCTCTCTGCAAAGCTTGGGAGTCTCAGAGTGGCTAGAATTCTTTCATGGCACTGACCTCCTGAAGGAACATCTTAAAAAACTCAGGTATAAGTTGCAAAGCTTGGTATGACCTAATCTCAAAAGTCACTCAGCATCACGTCCTCTGTATTCTCTTAATCATACAGGGCCAACCCTGAATCACTATGGAAGGGGACCACACAAAGGTACAAAGACCAAGAGTCTTGATTCATTTGGGAACCATATTTGGAAACTGGCTACCACAGTCCTCTACTAGTTATATATGTGCTCACTTCTAGAATACACTTTTTATTCTTTACCCAAAGTACATTTCCTGAAACACAATTTTTATCTGCATCAGTGGGGTAAATAAAGTTTATTGCAATGGTTTGCAGATGTAACTAAATTGGAATGGGTTTCATAAGCCATAATGATACCAAATAAAATAGATAACATTATCTTCATTTCCCCAAACCAATAAGTTTGTGTGTGTGTGTGTTTTTTTTTTTTTTAAGCACCAAAGGAGCAATTTTATGGGCATTGTTTATTCATTTAAGAATTTTATATACAGCTTCTTCTACATTCTTCTGTGGTTCCAGAGTTTATGCATTTATTCCTTAAGAATTGGTATCATTTTTAATTCTACAATTTCCTTCAATCATAAAAATGTAGGGGAAAGCATTACACTGAGTACAGAGTCAATATGTTTGTTGGTGTTACTATTTGTATAGAAAATTATGTATTAACATGCATGCATTTCAATAAGCATGTGCTAAATACCTATTTCATGCTGGGCTCTGCATGATATTTTTATGAAAGTGTACGTCCTTAAAACAGCTGCCTAACCCACTCTTCTGCCCTCCCCACCATCTTGCTTCCTGGCTGCATGGCTTTGAGTACCACTCTGGCTAATTGAAGTTTCAAGAGCACTGATAGTCATTTAAATATAGTAATTTTATATCTAGCAATTTTCTCTGAACTGTCCCTGAGACAGGTATAAGATTTCTAAATTTTTATGACAGTAGAATAGAATACATTCTAATTTCCTTCAAAATAAGAACAGCAGTATAAAAGGATAATTCACAATGTGCAATCTTTAATAAATCTTTCTTCTTCCCTCCTTTTCCTTCTTCCCTTGCTCCTTTCCCTCCTTTTCTCCTTTTTTCTATCAAGAAATATAGAAAAATAATGTGGGCTTGCCACAAATGTTCCTTCTATGTGAAGTTTTGTCTAGTCTACCAGAGAACCACTCAATGAGGTTTCCTCTGGCCCTCATTTCTGAAGTGGTATCTTTCCTTAATGCCAATCACATTACTTTCTTTGTTTCTTTCACCACAGTCCCCACAATCGATAAAACTATTTATTTGTTTGTTTATTTCCTTTTCCCTCTTGAAATATAGGATCAAGGACAATGGACACATTGTGGGTCTAGTTTACCACTAGACCTAGTGCCTGGGCTAAAATTAGCAATAAATAAAGATCTGTTGCATAATTAGTAAAATAAATTATTCCATGTGGCACCACAGAGGCTAAGCAATACAGTGTTCATTTTGGGGCATTGTGGATACCTTCCCAAGACATGCTTTCCTTTCTCTTGGCAACTACCCCTAATTTCATAAAAGTTTCCATACTTCCTCTGCACAATCCAAATGTTTTAGGGGAAACTAACTCTACTCTTAACTCAGAAATGTGGCAGATGAACCAGGACAAAGGAATTCAATGGGTGACATTTCCTAGGTTGCAATGAGAGAATAGTTTTGATCCAGTCTACCAGACTTCCAATGGTCAGTTCTTAGACCTTTGCTTCGCCACTCAGTAACAGCTGACACATTCTGTGGTAGACACTACTAGGCATCACCTAGAAGTCTATACAGAAGTAAGGATTTATTATCCCAGCTTCTAGGATGCTGACTATCATCCCCTTCAGAGATTATCTCAGCTGAAGAGAGTCACCTGGCCTAAGATCATGCCTACTTCCTGGAGTGGCCCACATTTAGTGACAGAGAGATGTGTGAATATAAATGTTTGATCCTCTTTGCTTAAATTGCCAACAGCTCTGAGGGTCCTCCCATCCTCAGTACTCTGCTAAGGGTCAGCAAAAGCCTCCATAGACTGCATTGCAATTTGGCTTATTCCTCTGTCAAACCTGTTTTCTTTTTCACCCAACAGGTGTTGGTCCCAAGCATACCCCTTAATAGACATTTTTCACACTAATTTCTAACTGATAGACCAAAATATGTCACCTAGAAGACAGCCTAGTGAAACAGAAATTCACCTTTCTCCCCTCTGCCCCAAACAGAATGTGTATTTTTACTTTTTTAGAAATTTATTAATCTTGCCTTAGGGTCACAACTTCAGAGCTCTAGTAGAGTTGCAGTTTTGAACCACTGTTGACTTTCAGGGGTAGTTATTATGAGCAAACTAAGCAAGTAAGTGTGTTTTTACTCAATATTGGGGGTAAAAAATACATGAAGATAATTGATTTTATATTTTACCCACACTTAAAATATACAAAAGATTTATCATTCCTTAACATATTTTGCAGAAAACAAACCCACGGATCTCAAAGAGAATAACTTAAACTGGAACCAACATTATACTCCAACATTAGTTTGTAATGTTAGAAGTTTCCAATCAGCTTATAAGCATTGTCCGGGAAGCCTCCTGACATTCAAAAGCTCTCTTATTGCCTTATAACTTGAATCTCTAAAAATTCATTCTAGAATTCCTGAATATTACATTTTGAATCAATATTTGTTTCATTGTTATGATCCTTGATAAAAAAGTGAAGTGTGGAGAGAGAAAAGACAGTGTGTATTTGTCAGGTTGTATACCTTAAAAGCCAGCAAAAATGTAACACATTTTGTTAATCATCCATTGATTGGTCCAATTAGTATTGGTTTGAGTTGGACAAGATTTCATAATTGAGGGATTTATTTTTAATGAAATAAATTGCAGACTTTGCATTTCTAAACAAGGAAGCATGGTTTAAGAAAATATTGGCGTGTGTGCCAGGAGACCAGATTTCAAGCTCTGTTACTTTCTAGCAGCATGAACTTACTAAATTACTTACCCTCTCTCGGACTCATTATGTTCATCTGATATTATGGAACAAATATAATTCTGCTTTTGGTTATATACCCAGAAATGGGATTGCTAGATCAAATGGTAGTTCTTTTTTTTAATTTTTGAGGAGCTGCCTTACTGTTTTCCATAGCAGCCACACCATTTTATATTCCTCCCAATAGTGGACAAGTTTCATACTTCTCCACAACCTCACGAACACTTATCCTTTTTTTTTTTTTTTTTATGTGAGGACATATCTCATTGTAGTTTTGATTTGTATTTTTCTGATAATTAGTGATGTTGAATACCTTTTTATATATCTGTTGGCCATCTGTATGTCTTCTTTGGAGAACTGTCTACTCAAGTTTTTGCCCATTTTTAAATCATTTTTTTGTTGTTGTTGTTCTTTTGCTATTAATTTGTAAGACTTCCTTATGTATTTTGGAAGTTAACTTCTTAATAAATATATGTTTGCAAATATTTACCCCCATCTGATAAGTTGCATTTGCAACAACAATAGATGGACCTGAAAGATGTTATGCTAAGTGAAATAAAATAGCCAAAGAAGGACAAATGCTGTTATGATTCCACTTACATGAATTATCTAAACTAGTCAAACTTATAGAAGCAGAAAATAGATTAGTGGCTGCCAGAAACTAAAGGAGGGGAATGGGGAGATGTTGTTCAATGAGTATAAAGTTATAGTTATGTAAGATGAATGTGTTCTAGAGATCTGTTGTACAATATAGTGCCTATAGGTATCAATGGCATTTGCACTTAAAAAAATTGTTAAGAGGGTAAGTTTTATGTTAGATGTTTTTATCACAGACACACAAAAAGCAAAGAGACTCTGGAAGTGATGGATATATTTATTGTGGTGATAGTATTATGCGTGTATGCAAATGGCTAACAGGCATATGAAAAAGCCCTACCATCATTAATCGCCTAATCACCAGCGAAATGCAAACTCACCAAAATGTATACATTAAATATGTGCAGTTTTTAATATATCAATTATACTGTAATAAATATAGTACATATATAAATATATTGCAATAATGTATATTGCAATATTACCAAAAATATGATAATACCTGTGAAAGTACTTTGAAAACTGAGACAAATTTTACACATTTAAGAAATCACCATTATTATTAACATTATAATAAAATATATATGTTAGTTGGGGCAGTAGTTTACAAGCAACAAAATATGATTAGGATACCTTTAGGCATAAAAATAAATTATTGGAAGGATATTGAATACATCATAGAAGAAATGGGAGGTCTTAAGAATTGAGGTCTGGAATTGTGGGAGTTTAAGAAGTAGGAAAACCAGTCAGGGCCACATTCCAAAAATAGTCTGGTGAACATACTATCCTTGGCACCGCCAACATACTTATTTCACCTGTGTGAGTAACTCACTACTGCTATTGCACACCACCCCTGCCATGGTCAATGTTATAGGAAATGAATTCCAAACTTCATCTTTAGATGACTAATTCAAGTTTCAAAATATCTGGCTATCTGAACTTTTGTCATAGGTCTGCATCCCCACCCTGCTGGGATCAGAAAAGGGTCTCTTAGCCCAAATCTGGTTTTGCAACAGAAATCAGAGTCCATCAAGATTTCCTACATAGGAATGAGCTACATCAATAGTATTTTCTCAATAAGGCTTGGATAAAGGGCCATCCATGGACAAGGGAAACTCCCCATCAAGTTTTCGATAGCCATCACTTGACATTAATTACCCCTATAGAAGAAGAACCTTGGCTAACAAATAGTGATAAGAACTCCACTGTAGCTGTAAGTCTATATCTGTAATAATTGCTTTCACAAGAATGAAAGCCAAATAACAAAGTTGGCAAGGATAAGGTAAAAATTACAAAAGGAAAGAAAAATGCCTTTATAATTATATAGAGTGTTGAATTACTAGTGAGCAGGAAGAAAAATGCACAGTTCTAGTCAGACAATGGTAATTATTTCAAAGGCACATTATATGGGTAATTTGTGAAAATGAGCTAAATCACTTATTAATTACATATATTCAATGGGCTAATTTCCCAATTTTCAGAAGAAAGTATACATTTGTTCTTTATGAAACTCTGAAAATTATTTATAGTCTTTAGTAATAACTTGAAAATGAATCTTACTTTCATAGTGTCTTGTTCTTGCTGATCTATTTGAAGATGTCATTCAAATTTTCAACTTTGTTGACTTATATGTCCATTGGAATTTTTCTTATGCCATGAATAGAAGAAAATTAAAATAATATTTCAGTTGTACAAGATGATGAAAATTATCTTTGGAAGGTATTATCAGAATATGACTCTATATATATAAATTCATTTCTATACTTAATGACAACTTTCTAAGTCACAGAATTATCTCTCACTGAACAAAGAATTCTAGTTTACTGTATAGACAGATTGAAGGCAGTGTGTTGAGAAGAAGTATTAGATTACAGACTATGCTGAGGGAAAAGAGAGACACAGATTATTTTGTGCTTTCTTTTAAGAAAGCTCAGTCCAAATTTATGAAGTTTATCTTCGGCCTAACATCTCTATGTCAATTCACCATGAAGAAGCAGATGAAATGTTAGGAATATTCTGCTGGATTTTTTATTTGTGATGAGAACTTGGTATCATATAGACCAAAGGCTTAATCCCACTGTACCTCCCTTTACAGAGATTCCATAAATTTAGAAAGTATAGAACTGCCCTAGAGTTAGTTGACAGATCTCTGAGTGTGACTCCCTGAGAAGCAAAGGTGACTGATCCTTTCCCTGGTTTGTAGCAGCTGAAATTGGGTACCCTACCATGTCCCCTCAGCATTCCCTGGACTCCAATTACAGAGTCAGTGGAAAGTGGAAAGTTCCCATTACACCTACTGCTTTCCCCTTGAGCACTTGTGACTCTGTGTCTGAGTGATTAATCTGACCCCCAGAGTAGAGAAGGACAAAAGTTCTGGGGAGTAATGACCCAGAAGCAACTCTCACCCAGTGAGGGTTCGTCATCTGTGGACAAAACACCCAGCTCTGGGCCTTTTGGGTCCTGGAATTCTGAGGTATGCTCAACATGAAAGTCAGTGAGACTCAGATCAGTTGCTCATAGTGGTATTATGAGCACCAACACACATTTTCTGCCCCTCCTGCCTCCCTGCCCTGACTTACTTTCCTACTCTCTCATTGTACTTTCTGGGATCACCTCCCTTATGATACCCAGATTCTTTCCTCATGGTCTGTTCTTTTTTTTTTTTTCTGCCTAATATAAATGTCCACTTAATTTTGGTTTTTAAAAAGCCAACTGTGTCACTCTTCTGGAGACCTACATTTGAGCAAGGAGGAATGAGTCTCTCCTCATTGCATTTGTGAGGAGCTAAAACTCTTGGATTGTTACTGTGTTCTCACTACAGAGGCTGTCGTCTGCTCTGGAAACTTCTTCTTTCTTTTAATTTATGTCTGCCATGATTTGAGGCCCTTTCTCACAGCATATGCACAAAGGAATACATGAATGAAACCCATTTGTTAAGCTACAAGAAGGAATGGATTCATTGATCTCAATTGTTTCTGATGGATTGCAATACTTGCTTCCTGCTAATCATACTTTTCTTTGATGTTTTCTTCATGACTATTTAAAATAAGTACCTGTGTAAATGGGACTTAAAATATTGAAATTCCATGGTCCATAAAGCCCATTATCTCTTGCCCTTATTTTCCCTCATCTTAGTCCACCCCAATACTCCAGCTTCCATGAAAGCAGGGACTTTGTTTTGTTTACCACTCTATCACTAACACAACAATGACACCAAAAAGTACTTGACAATAGTAAATGCTTCATAAATGTCTGCCAATGAATCAGTTGAATCAATTCAACGTGGTAGCCTTACAGATTTGGATAAATTGATTAACCTCTCTGTGCCTCAGTCTTCTCATATGTAAAATGGAGATGATAAAAGTCCTTCCCTTAAATAATTATTTTGAGCTTTGAATGAGATTTTATATGTAATATATTAAGTGTAGTACCTGACACATAATAAACACTCAAAAAGCATAGCTTTTATTATTATTGTTACTGTTATTATTTATTTAATATGTATTTATTGAGTGATGACTATATGACAGACATTGTTAGGTGTTGGGATTACAGCAGGGAAACATGCAAGGCTGCTATGCTCCTGAGATTGTAGTATAACAAGTGTGATATATGATAAGTGGATAATACCTATATAAATATTTTAGCATAAGGAAATTAGATTTTTTTCCTATGGATCAAGAAGAACTACATTAATTATGAATCAGGGAATGGCATCTTTTAAAAGCACATTTTCATTGCATCATCAACAATATAAGAATAGATTAATTGGGGGAAAATATTAAAGACAGAATGATTAAGAAACTACCACAATATCTCAAGAAAAAGATAATAACATTAGTAAAATGAATGCATCTGAGACACTTTTCTGGATGAGAGAAGATAGAGCTGGGTGAATGGTCACTCAATAACTGGCAGGCAAGCACAAGACGAACAAGTAGAGAGAGAGATTTAAGATAACCGTGTGTTCCCTAAGAGCTATTGGAGAAAAACATTACAAAAAAACTGAGAACAAGAAGGAGTTGGGGAAGGTGAAATGGTTCTTGAAGCTTTGCAGAAAGTGGTAAGAGCAGATGTGTGCCTTTATCTGGAGTGGTGAGTTGAGAAAATAGACAAGTTGGAGGTTTGGGTGAGAGGACTCATCATCAGGACTCATGATGTAGCTAGGAAGAGGGTGATTGCTCACAGGAGAAGAGAAAGAAAAGATCAGGAACATTTTCTGAGTATTTTCAAAAAAAAAAATGATGTGTCTCCTTATTTCAAGGCTGTTTCCTGCCATTACTTTTGTTTTCAGAGTGACTTAACCTTTCTACCCAGAATGCTTCTCTCCAGCTCCCAACAGGGGGAGCCAAGAATCTTAGTGTCTCTGTTTGGTTACACTATGGTCACCTGACCCTGGGTAAGATATTCATAATTCCACGAAATCAAATAGTGCTTTCCAACCTTTCTGTTTTCTTTTTAATCTCTAAAAGATAAAGATTATTTCCTTTAACATAAACATAATACCATAATCACACTTTAAAATAACTCTTTAATGTCATTAAATATGTAGCCTATTCAAACTTTTTTTTTCTTTTGTGACTCATCCCTTCCTTATTTTGGCAATATATCAGCCCTGAATTTTTATTGTTTCCAGACTTGGTTTTCTTTCCCCTGCCAAAGTTAAAAGACAAATAAAAATTTGGGTTTTCATAAAGGTTCTCCCACTCCTTCGGGGATTTAAACAAAATTCCACAAACTAAAATCATCTGAAACAACTAGTTTCTATGATCCTGAAATGTAAACATGTCAGCAAAATCAAATATTGCTTATATATATATATGTAGCTCAAACATATTGAGACCTAAAATAAACGCTGGAGTGTGCCTGCTTTCTAAGGGAAGAAAGGGCACTGCAAGTTCATAACTAAACGAAAGACTTCAATAATTTAAATATATTTCCCAGGAGTCAGAGGGCTGAAAAGGTTTCTACACAAGACTTGTGCAAGCCTCTAGATTATGAAAATTAAGTATTTTAGAAGTAGAAATACTTGTTCTTCCACCAAGATAAAACATCTTACGAAAAATATTTTGTGGCAGTTGCTCTGTTAGGACTTTACGTATGTGAAATAATCCTCACAATAATTGTATAAAGTAGTATCACCAAGGATATCTGGGACCCTCTGGGCTCCTCCACTGTCCCACAGTGCAGATTTGTAAAGCAAGTTTATTGAATGTGCCCAAGATTACTAACTCATAAGTAGATTGACTACCAGGCTGGTTAGATTTTAAAACACGTGGTCTTTCCATGACTATAACATGCTGTCTCTTCTGGGCTTAGTCAAGATGAGTTATCACCTGCCAAAAGATGAGAAAAGCCAAATTTGAGACATACCTCTGTAAACGTGATGCCAAGCTGTCCCCTACAGAGATCTGCACTCCAATAGTAACTGAAGTGAAACATGTCATCTTAGAGCAGCTGCGCCATTGCTAAAATTTGGTCATAGCTAACTTTCTCATGCAAATACACATAATTATATTTTCCCTTTAAGTTGATGCCTTGTCTTAATTAGAGTTCAGCCAGAAAAACAGGGCCACTAAAAGAATCATGTGAATCAAGGATTTATGATTTAATTACAATTAATTATATTATGTAGACCTTACACTCATATGTGACAACCCAGGAAAGTACAGGTCTAAAATGAGGAGGGAGAAGCACCAATCATTCCATCAGACACACAAGTACAGGTACCCAATCAGAACTTGTAGGATGAGGGACGCCTGGGTGGCTCAGTCGGTTCAGCATCTGCCTTCGGCTTGGGTCACCATCCCAGAGTCTTGGGATGGTGCCCAGCATCAGGTTCCGTGCTCAGCAGGGAGCCTGCTTCTCCCTCAGCCTGCCGCTCCTCCTGCTTGTGTGCTCTCTCTCTGACAAATAAAATCTTAAAAAAATAAATAAATAAATGAAAGAAGAACTTTCAGGATAAGGTTGCTAGATTTCACAACTTAAAGCACAGAACATACAGTTACATTTGAATTTCAGGTAAACAACACATAATTTTTAGTACAACTATGTTCCATGCGATAGATGAGATAGACTTTTTCCATTGTTTACTTAAAGATAAATTTAACTGGGTGTCCCGTATTTTAACCGGCAGCAGTATAGCGGGAACATCTGAGAAGCCAAATTTGTTTGTGTCTGAAGGGGAAGTTTGTGGTGTGTCTATGGAAAGAGCTGCCAGTTCTGTGGCTACACAACTAAGTGTCTGGCAGTGGACCTGGGCTACTTTTGGTCAACAGGGTCAAGAAGAGGAGCTGGATATGGAGCAAGGGAGAGCAAGGATATCTGGGACCCTCTGGGCTCCTCCATGACAGACTGACATGATGTCTACCCATAAACTCCTCTGGAGAACGAAGACTTCTGCTTCACAGCTGCCTCCTGAATTGCACAGGGACGTCTTGGCCACACAGGGCAGGAAGTGCTTGGAGAGGCAGTTTCTAGTCTTATTCAAATTGCCATAACTCAATATAGCATGTCTATTCTTTTTACCCAAAATACGCAAACACACACTCTCTCTCTGAGTTAAAATGTTTCAAAAAATGTATGAATTTTAAATATATAGTTATATGAGTTTTGACAAACTTACATACACCTATTTAAGCACTGCCAAGTCAAGATACAGAATGCTTCCAA